TCACTCATTCACCAAATGCTTACTGAAGTCCTGCTCTGTGCTGGGGATCCAGAGAGGAAAAGAATATAATGCCGGCCATTCTTTTTTCCCCTCCCAGGTTCAAATGGTGAAAGACGGTGACCCCTCCTGGAAGCCCACTTTTATTGTGAAACCTGATGGTGGTTGTCAGGGTGATGGAATCTACCTCATTAAAGACCCCAGTGACATCCGCCTGACAGGGACCCTCCAGAGCAGGCCGGCGGTGGTCCAGGAGTACATCTGCAAACCTCTCCTCATTGACAAGCTCAAGTTTGATATTCGTCTGTATGTCTTACTAAAGTCTTTAGACCCCTTAGAGATTTATATAGCCAAAGATGGACTCTCTAGATTTTGTACAGAGCCATATCAGGAGCCCAGCCCCAAGAATCTGCACCATATCTTTATGCACTTAACCAACTACTCCCTGAACGTCCACAGCAGTAACTTCGTCCATTCGGACAGTGCTAACACAGGAAGCAAAAGGACTTTTTCTAGCATTCTTTGTAGATTGTCTTCCAAAGGCGTTGACATCAAGAAGGTCTGGTCTGACATCATCTCTTTGGTGATTAAGACTGTCATCGCCTTGACTCCAGAGCTCAAAGTTTTCTACCAGTCGGACATCCCCACAGGGAGGCCGGGGCCCACATGCTTCCAGGTAACCTGCGCCAGTTCTCAGCCTGAGTTCCCAGCCTTGACAGGGCCTATTGAGGGCTCCCTGGCCTTGTGGGGGATGAGGGATGGGGACGGGGTGGCCAGGGCTGGGGGCAGGGATGGTTGCTGGTGTGGGCTTTGGTGTTAAACTTGGGTCCAACATCCAGCTTTCTATTTGCTAGCTGTATGATTTGGAGCAAGTTACTTACCTTTGGTCACCTGTAAAAATGAGACTAATAGCACCTACCTTAAAGGTTCTTGTAAGAATTAAATGAGATAACACATGTAAAGCAGGGTGTCATTCATTCACTCAACAATTTTTACCACTTGCTTAGTGGGGGTCAGGCATTGTCCTGGGTACAAGTGACACAANCAACAATTTTTACCACTTGCTTAGTGGGGGTCAGGCATTGTCCTGGGTACAAGTGACACAACAAGTCATGTCCCTGCTGTCAGACACAGAGTCTATTGTACGAGACAAATGATTTAAAAAGCAATTATAGCGTTACAAGCGCTAGAACAGAATAAGAAATGTACTAGGTGCTGTGAGATTGTGGAACCATCAAACATTCTCTAGGTGGGAGTGGGTTGGTCCGGGACAGCTTCCCAGAACAACTGGCAGTTCAACTGGAACGTGAAGTAAGACTTAGATGAAGCAAGCAGGACTGGGGAGGGGCGGGGGAGGCAAAGTTTTCTAGGTGGGGACATGTTTCAGCCCTGGAGGTAAGAGGGAGGCATGGTGTGTTTGAGGCTCTGAAAGAGATTCAGTGTGGTTGGAGCACAGGGTCTGAGGCAGGGATATTGTGGGAGATGGGGTGGGAGAGGTAGGTAGGGGCCAAGTCATGGAGAACCTGAGGCCAGTGGGGGCTACCACAGAATGTTAAGCAGGGGACAGATGCACTCAGATGTGCCTCTTGCAAAGAAAAAGGGCCTGCAAGTTGGAGAAGGGATTGGGAAGGCTGGAAGCAGGGAAGCCCCTAATGAGACCATCACTTGCATACAAGCAATAGAGGATGCTGGCTTGGATTAGGAAGGTCTTGGTGGAGATGGAGAGGACAGATGGATCTGAGTACCATTTAAGGGGGTAGAATGGCTAGACTTGGTTACTGGAGGGGTCTGGGGGACACACGGTGGCTATGGGGGAGGGAGGAACCTGGGCTGACTCGCAGGTGGTGTGGGTCCTTGGATGGATGGATAGAGCCCATGGAAGATGAGCAGACTTGTGGGGGAAGGTCAGGAGTTGGACTTGAAGTGCCTGTGTGACACTGAGTGGAGAGGTTGAAGGGACAATGGATAACTGGGTTTGGAGTTCAAGAGAGAGAGGTCTGGGCTGCAGAACAAGATGGAAACTCATCAGCATTCAGATGGAGGCTGAAGACATGAGAGGCTGTGGGGTGAGAAGAGGCCTGAGAAGGCTCCTGTGGGCACCACCGTCTAAAGAAGGGACAAGCAGAGGAGGGGGAGCCAGCACAGGAGGCCAAGACAGTGTCTTGGGATTGGCAGAGGACGTGCTTGAAATGCCAAGGAAGAGGTGCTCAGAGAAGAAGTGGGAAGGGGTCAGCCACGTCCAACGCTGCTGAGGTGTCGAGCAAGACCAGAACTGAAACTGTCCGTGATATTTACTAACAAGGCGTTTACTGGGGCCTTCAGCCAGAATCGTCTTGAGCAGTGGTCGAGCCAGTGCCCAGAGTGCAGTGGACTGAGTCAGAGTGTGGGAGGGAAGGAACTGGGGAGTTGGGCCATTTGGCTGTGGAGGTGGTGGGTGCTGTTGGGGTGGGGTGAGGGCATGGAGTCCAGGCACTCGGTGGGCACACCCTGTCCTGCCATCAGATAGATCAGAACGGGGAGGAGGAGATAAGAAGGGGTACCTCTGGGACCCTCTCCACCTAATCCTGAAAATTATTTTGTAGCACTTGATATATAAAAAAGAAAACATGGAACGTATTTGTAAGCCATGTAGCAGAACAACGAAACGGTTATCCCAAACCGACTCCCAACCCAAGATCTTCAACCACTGCCTCCCCCATCCAATTTCCCTCCTCACCCCCGAGGTAACCATTATCCTGAAACTTATGATCATCATTTCCTTGCTCAAAAAAGTAATTTTCATATGAATGAATGAATGTATCCCTAAACAATATACTGTTTTGCTTG